ACATTGAGGACCATGGATTGCTAAAAAAAAAAAGGTTTATAGAACGGAAGTCCAGCTCTTCCTGCAAAATATGATCCTCTATACACAGCAACAAAGATGAAAAGAGATGCTTGGAAAGCATCATATGATTGATAAAATGCAGAAAAATGAGTAATTTCCAACTTCTTGCAAATCAAACGCTGATTCGCTTAAAAAGCTCAAAAATACAAATTGAAACTTAATGTTGCACGGTTTGAGTTACTGCTAAAGAAGAAACTTTGTATACGTCTTGGCAATAACTCAAACAGCGTAAGCAACAAAATTCCTGACAAATGAACTTAGAGCTTAACATTGCACATTACTGAAAGGGATTGAAAGTGTCAACAAGAGAAGATTGAATAGAGTTCAGTGCAGCATCAAACCACATGGCATGATTTCAAAAACTCACCGAGCATCTCCGGCTGGCATTTGAATCTCTCTATCAATAGAAACCACTGATACTTCCATATAGTCGAGGTTGTCAAAATCTAGAAAATGGTATTATTCGCTTTATGTTAATGCCATGCACAGAATCTGTGGCATTAGCAACATTATCCACAAATTCACAAGATCATCAAATCCCATGACAATTCCTAAAATTACATTTCGGCTTGTTTCAATTAACGATACATGAGAGGAAAAACCAACAGATGGAACTCCCTGCCACATAAAAAAATCCCATAAGTCTATTGCAAAAAGCACATAGCAGATCATTTACAAACACAATTTTATTATCAAATGTTGTACAGAAATTATAAATGATTGATATTACGGTGTACCTGAAGCTTCCAATTGCTGTCTTCTTGTCATGACAATATAGCTAGGCTCCACGGTGTAATAAATCCTTGCTGGCCTCAAAGGAGTTCTTGGTAGCAGGAACCCATATAAAAGTGTGCAAATTGATTCAAAAGAGGGAGCTCCACGGTTTGCAGTCAAGAGAAAACCCTCGAACGAATCAAGAGCATTCACACAGAAGCTCTTCTCAGAACTGGAAGGGCGAGCTTTGGTACAACAGCTATAGTCAAGAATGAAAGCAACAAAAAAGCAAAACTTACACGGTCAAATTTGTTGGAATTGTTGCTAATACAGCGAATATCTTGCTCCGAAGTTTACCAAAATCTCCAGCTTGTATTAACTCAACTGCTTCATCACAAATTACCGGTGGCTTCCCAAAGTAGCCAATTTTGCAAGACGTAACCTAAAGGCAGATATATTCATGAATTTGCATATAGATTAGTTTGAGCTAAAAATAAAACAGCTTACTTTATCCCCATCGTGCAAAAATTCCAGTGATATGTCCACATTTTTCATAAGCGTTACACCAGCTTGTGAGGTCAACACACATCTAAGAGCACAATCAGCAATCTGTTTGATGAGTGAATAAGATGACTTACTCCAGACTATCCGACAGTTGTTTGAGTTTCACAGGCAATTCTGCGTTTTTGTCAACTGAAAAAAAAGAGTAGTGATTAAAGAGTGAGAACATCATATTTAGCAGCTAAGGCAGCTAGCTACCTTCAATCGAATATCATAGTTGAAACAAAAACAGAATCAGAGCAAGTTCAAAACACCCATTTTCAACTTCGTGCACCGCCGCTCAAAATAGTTTAGATAGATCTAATATGAAAAAAGCCGCTACATTAAATCTCCGCGATGTTCAAGAATTGAAGAAAAATCTGTGACCGAGGACTAAGGGAGTGTTGGGGAAAACTTCTTTAGTTTCACCGTTTTGTTTTGGCGTGCCGCACATGGATATAAACTTCAATCATCGGAACTGATGGAGATGAGTTGTACTAGCTGGTCGTCTTTGGCTTCTCTCGAAAGAAGAGCTCTCTGATGAGAAACACAGAAGGCTGACAAAATTGCAATGGCGCAATTTCATATTGTCCCAAAACGATTCTTTCTCGCTCCTCTTGGCGAGAGAAACCAAAGATGGAAAGCCATTTCGTCTCATCAGACCAAAAAAGAAAAGAGTCACTGAATTTTAATTTTTTCGTGTAGTTACAGCAGAATGGACCGGGAAAGGTGAAAAAATCCAATTCGGGAAATTGCCTCATAACTTATTTGTAATCAAATACCCTTCACAACATTTAAGGAAACTGGATTTTTTAGAGCATTATTATCCTCCAATTTTATTCTCTCAATAAAATTAACGTAAGTGGAACTGAAAATGCCGTCTTGTATTAGAGCATGAAATAAAGCAGGCGCGACCAACCTGGAAGATTACGCCTGATTGTAGAGATTGCTTGAAGTAAATCGATTCGTCCTTCTGTATCGAAAACAAAGCGCTTTTCCTAGAAAATAAATGCCACTAAGAAATGTTTACGGAGATAGAATAAGAGAAAAAAAAACGATTATCGAGTTATCCCAATTCAGAACATATAAATATCGATCTTTCAGATCTATGGGTACCTCAGAGAGCCTAGAATCTCATGAGATCACATTTATAAAACTTTCCGAGCTTGCTTCTCCCGTTAGAAAGGATAAATTTTGAAAGGAAAAAAAA